TCTGTGTGTCCACAGCCTTGTTTGTTTTCTCCCCAAACAATATAATGGTGAAGCTTGACTAGCCTGCAAGGAAGCTCATTAGACCTCTGTCCCCTGCAGTGCATAGACAAACATGACTAGCAAGTTATATTTGGTCATCGGGTGTATCGTTGCAGATTATTTCCCTCTAATGTCAACCGAGATTAGGATCATGTTAGATTATTTAAGAAGGGTTTTGAGGTTTTTGAGTTGTTAATGAATAAGCATGAAGAGGACACTCTCCACTATCAACACCCGCAAGGCAACAGGTCCAGACAACATCCCTGGTCGTGTGTTGAAGGACTGCGCAGAGGAGCTTAAGGATGTCTTCACAGATGTCTTTAATACTTCTCTGAGACAAGCTGTTGTACCATCATGCTTCAAGGCCACCATCATCATACCTGTGCCAAAGAAATCCACTCCGTCCTGCTTTAATGACTACTGTCCGGTGGCACTGACCCCCATAATCATGAAGTGCTTTGAACGGCTAGTCATGTCACATATCAAATCCATTCTTCCCTCCACCCTGGACCCTTTCCAGTTTGCATACCTTGCCAAACAATCCACGGAGGATGCAATCTGCTCTGCTCTCCACCCAGCCCTCACCCATCTGGACTCAAAAGACTCATATGTGAGAATGCTGTTCATAGACTTTAGTTCAGCATTCAACACCATAATCCCACAAAAACTCATCTTCAAACTTTGACCAGCTGGGGCTCAACACCTCGCTGTGTAACTGGCTGCTGGACTTCCTCAGTGAGAGGCCACAAGCAGTACGTGTCGGCAACAACACCTCGAGCAGCATCACACTGAGCACAGGGGCCCCTCAAGGCTGTGTGCTCAGTCCACTGCTCTTCACCTCGCTGACACACGACTGCACCACAACCTACAGCACCAATCACATGGTCAAGTTTGCAGACGACACAACTCTGGTAGGTCTCATCACCAAGGATGATGAGACCCACTATAGGAAGGAGGTCAGCCTTCTGACCACGTGGTGCAGAGACAACAACCTCCTTCTGAATAACAGCAAGACCAAGGAGATTATTGTTGACTTCCGGAGAGGCCACACTCAACACCCACCATTGACCATCAATGGTGCTGATATAGAGAGAGTGAGCAGCACCAAATTCCTGGGGGTGGACATCAGTGAAGACCTCTCGTGGACAGCCAACACAACATCACTGGCAAAGAAAGCTCAGAGGCGCCTCTACTTTCTCCGCAAACTGAAGAAGGCAAGAACACCACCACCCATCATGTGCACCTTTTACCGAGGCACCATTGAGAGCATCCTGACAAACTGTATCACTGTGTGGGGCGGAAGCTGCACTGACTACAACAGGAAAGCCCTGCAGCGCATAGTGAACACAGCTGGAAGGATCATTGGTGCCTCACTCCCCTCACTCCCCTCCCTGCAGGACATATACGACACTCGCCTCACCCGCAAAGTGACCATGATTGTGCGCGACTCCAGCCACCCCTCACACAGTCTCTTCAGCCTCCTGCCCTCTGGGAGAAGATACCGGAGCCTCCGTGCTCGCACCACCAGACTCTCAAACAGCTTCGTCCACCAGGCTGTTAGGAAGCTGAACTCTCTGAACTCTCTCCCTCCTCTCTTTTAAGACTCCCCATGTCCAACTGCTGCTAAATACAGATTGATAGTTTTTTTGTTCTTTTTCTCTTATTATATATATTGTCTAAATGTTTTTTTAATCTATTGCACTGTATTCACTTTATGTTTATATGTTTATATGTTGGACTAGAGAGAAACGTCTTTTCAACTCCCCTGTATGTCCAGTACATTGTGGAATTGACAATAAAGCAAACTTTGAACTTTGAACTTTGAACATACCTCTTTTGGTGTATTACACCATATTATGGTGATGTTTTCAAAGTTTTGGCTTGGTTTCAAATACACAACACATATTACAGTAAATAGTCACATTTTGTGGTTCAATGGTTATGCAATGTGAGTTGCTACCGACACAACCCTGTCGCGGTGGAAAAGTGTTCATTGGCCCTCCAGCTCCCCTGACCTAGCTCCCTACACTTCTCAAAGATAACCTCCAGGCCCCTGAGAGTCTGTGGCCCCTGCCAACCTGCCATTCTTCCTGCCCTGAAATAGATCCTTACTGGCACTCATCTGTGTGTGTGTGTGTGTGTGTGTGTGTTTTCTTATCTCGGTAAGTTGGTATAGAGCCATGCTGACTGCAGCGCATTTCCTGACTTCCTGTGGAGCCCCAGACAGCTGCATATCGATCAGTACACTGATGCATCACTTTAGAGGCCACATACAGTACACACAGAGTCACACACAGAAACACACACAGAGAGAGATACAAGCAACAACATTTGTGCATGCATCTCTCTCTCTCTCCCTCTAACCATGAGTCACTTTGTAATTTCAGACAGGCCTCCATTATCAGCTGGAGTCTGCGGCTGCATCACTGATATCCGGACAGATCATAAAACAGCAGGGCTGACTTTAATCAAACACAGTGAGAAAATGATTTAAGAATTAGCTTTTATAAAATAATAAACTGTCTGGACAGAAAGCCATTCCATCACACACCTACCACACATAGACGATCTCTTACAAACACTCGTGGGCGACATTAAAGACTACTATGTATGCAAATTCCGCTAAGCCACCATGTCTTCCAGGCGCTGCACTTCTCAGAGTGATATTTAGAGACAGGTTGCAGGCTAGCTGACGTAGCTTAAAGTACTGTTCAGAGCAAGAAGGAGAGTCAGCGTGTCTGGAATGCCTGCCTGGGATGATTCACACCGACCTTTTTGAATTCCTTCCCCACTTTTAAATAGAACGGAGAGGTAATTTTGAGTCTATCGCAGTCTTGGATGCAGTAAACCGTGTCCTTTCATGTTTGTGGTACAGTCATGAATCAAATTGGTTTGACAAATATATATTGTATATGATCAAATTACTTACAATGGTGCCACTGTGTCTAATCCAAGTTAATAATGGTATATGAATACAGTACAAGACACAATCACTTTTGCTACACTTAAAGGAGAGATACAATGCTCATTTCCAGCTTCATGCATTTAATTTAGGGGTTCTACAAGAACAAGATTACATGCTTAAATGTTAAAATATATATATATATATATATATTTCTCATACTGCCCATTGCTACAGCGCCTGTATTCTTCCTCTGTCTGATAAACAACGTTTGAGTGCCTGTCTCTTTAAGGCCCCCCTGCCGAAAATCCCAGTCTGCTCTTATTGGTCAGTTTTTCCAGTCTTCCCATGGATGTAATTCCACAGTTTGGCCTCTGTGTAATAATTTGCTTCAAAGCCTTGTGCTATAAACCCCCTTAAAGCTCCCATAAAGCCACTATCTGGGGCCCCTTATAGCTACTGTATGGCAGCTGGATACCATTAGGACAGTCAGTTAGTTACCTCAACCATACATACACTGTTCTCATACACATACACGTCCACACACAATGGGCCTTGATGAGCTTCTTTGTCTAGGCCCCTATTGTGTCTAGGATCGCAACTGACTGCTAGTCTCACTTATTACAAACATTTTCTGATAGTTAGCAAAGGAGAAACAGAGAGAAAATGGTCTTTTCTCATACGTTTATGGTCTCTGGACATATTTATTTTTGAAAAACCAAGAAAAAGTGCATTTTGCATTTGTATTTGTACATGTCACCATTAAATATATTTTAGACTTTCTATTCAGCATGTCTCTGGAATCGTCAAAGTTTGTTTTCACATATATATTTAGGGCTGTGAATAGCGGCAGAGAATGTGTGGATTGAAGAGAAGCATTTATGCTCCCAGTAACCATCGATCAGATCACAGGACAGGAAGTGTCTCAATATCCCTCTTTTTTGGCACATTTCCCTTCCTTTTCCTGCACATCTCTTGGTCTTTAAATCATCCTCTTGTTCATGTTAGTTTAAGTTGGTCTCACAGTCTGAATGCTCTCATTTCTTACTCTCACTCACTGAGCATTACACTTATCTCATATCTCACTTTCCACCTATAATTGTATAGATCTTTACAAACCTCAGTATTCACACGGAGGCTTTGGTTATACTCAGGCAAATTATTTCAATAACACAAGTCTGTGGTAGTTTATGTATCTCTGTTTGCACAGTAGGCGAAATGTGATCCCAGAGCAATTCACACTTTTTACTGCCTTCAGGAAAGGTGGTAATCTCTCATATGATATTACATGTTTCTAGGAAGAGTTGAACAAGACCATTTCTCAAAGATGAGTTGCATCTTCGAAGGATGCTTTTTAATGGCAAAAGTGGAAAGCTATAACAAACAAATCCTAATCTCATTTTGATATAATTCCAAACCCAATATTTGATAGCACACATATATATTTTCTTTGACTGGATGTCAACACAGTGTTAGACTTGAAAATGCATCACCTTTAAGATTCAATCAGCTCACTGGTGTCAAGCAAACAAAACCTGCTATTTTGCTGTTTTACCTTCACACAAACACAGAAGGAAAACTTCAGTTGACAATAGGCTATGTTAATATTACTGTCAACTGCCTCTGCCAATGCTTTATTATAACTCGTAGGTGTTATTTAAAGCCCTCTGTCAATACTACTGAATAAGGACATATCTGTAGAGCCAGTTCCTCAGTATTCTGTGTTTACAGACTTGTGACAGACAAAGAGCAGATCTCTCTGTGCAGTGCATTGGCCCATGATAAATAAGATTGCATGCTGACAATAAATTATAGCTTGAAGAGTGTTGTGTCAAATGGATGTGACACAACATCACAATTACATCATTTTAATTGATATATCTGCCTTTATGCAAGAATTGGCAGAATACAAATTAATCCCAAATCACATTTGCTGCGTGACGGTATTACTCCGCCCCCCCGTGGGAACGTTGAGGAACTACATGTGTGCGTTGCCATTGTCTACTTCCGAAGAGCTCCAGTTTCCGGACGGACGAGTTTCAGAGTAACACCACACGACCGTCATTTAGCAAGGTTGGTGCTTGCATTTTTGTTGCTAAATGGTTTGAAATTTTTGTAGCGTCAAATTGAAAACATTTTATGAAATGCATTATTTTTCTACGGATCAAATGGACACTTAAACATCGTATGACATCCATTTTTTTCCAAACAACATTCAACGGTTTAACGTTACTGCAAAACAAGAAATTGTAAAATTGTTGAAAACTTTGATGAAAGGCTACTTATGAATGGATTTTGTAAGATTGCTTCCTTATAGCCGTAGTTTCACCAGCAACGTATTAAGACATGAATGATGGATGTTTTCCATTTAAGATGAATGTAACGTTATAGCAGTACAGTACAGTAGTTTGTCATATTTAAGGAAAGCTAGCTACCTTAAATATTTACGTACATACTTAACTTTCTAGATGTCAGAGGTCATGGTAACGTTTAGACACTTTTTTCTGCTTTACGTTACTGCTAATAAAGCTACAGTCACTATACAAGTGTAGCCTTACTATCTATTAGCTTACTATCTTCATTTTCAGATATATCTGCTGTTCCCTACTTTACATTTTCTTTTCTCTACATTTTTACATGTTTAGGCATTTTTGTTTTATTCCCTACTTAAATAGGCCTTTTTCACGAAAGACATTTTGACTTGTCACAGGAAAAGCACAAGTGTATATCATACAATTCGTGAGTATCAGGGGTCCTGGTGTTGTGCTTGCTGGCTCACTGTCACTCTCACTGGCCCCTCAATAACTGTGGTTCATCACTGTGGTTCAGTGAGTCAGGTTGAAGTTGGGTGGATCTATACTGGTAATTGCGTGATGTCACCAAACTGTGTGTTAAGATACAGTCTATGGTTAAGAGGCCTAAGTAGGCAACACAATTAACGTTAAGTGAAAACACCTGTGTGTAGTGGATGAATCATAATTCCCATTCATAGCATGAAATGCTGTAATGAGCACATTGTTAACAGTAAGAACGTCTTTATAAAACGCTGGTTGTTTATCCTGTAGATATTGTGAGCGAACAGATGCATCACAGCAGCACACAGGTGTTAATAAAAGTATTTGAATTCTATTTAACTGCGTCAGTGCCAGGGTCTTGGTGTTGTGCATGCTGACTCACTGTCACGCTGTCGTGGCTTACGGACAATGGAACCGTCATTAATGTTATTAGTAACACTTCTCCCATTATTACGAGTCAAAAGGTCTGCGGTGAAAAGAAAAAAATCTATAACTGTCCCAATTCTGTCAAAGCTTGTTGGGATTTATTTGATTCTGATTTGTTTTTGGCCAGTCAGCAGAGTATCTTGGCAATGATCCCTGTCCTCAAACGTTGATCCTCCGCATATATGCCCGCCATCTATTTTTAATATAGTAAAATGTGTGAAGCAGTGGAGTTGAAAGTGAGTATTGTCTCCCACATTTCTCCGTCTCCATGCTGCAGCAGGATGGTACTCTGTGCAATGAGGCGGCAGCTCCTGAGGAGCAGCAGCTGTGCAGTCTGGGCCAGGTAAGGGAGACGAACCAGCGTTGTTTACCACCATGCCGGACTGTGGCAGTAAACAAAGTCATGAATACAAGAACATCAAGTCTACTGAGTTGAACCCACATTATTTGTTCACAAATCACAAACAGGGACAAGTCTAATAACCAAAATGCATTTCTAAGGTGCTTGGATATGCAAAATGCCAGTATATGAAAGTAATACTTTCTCTCATTCTGACTCATGACTAAAATGAGTCATAATCAGATGGTTCATTTGTTTGTGTGACTGTGTACCATGCCATCTGATCATGTAAAGAACAACGCAAGGTAAAGACAGAGGACATTTATGCTGTCTAAACCTCCTGGTAATGTACCATAAGTATGCTGTTGTAGCAGTTAAATGAATCATCCACAAACAGCTCCTGTATGTCTATTACCATCCGTAAGAGCTGGATCTGTATATTGATGAACTTTATACATGTTGTTCCTCGAAGGCTGCTGCTGCAGAGACAGAGCGGTGGTTGTGTGTACTCCAGCGCCCATGGCTTCAACCAGGAGGAGATCACAGAGAAGCTGCAGGCCTTTCCTGGAGGCTCCGTTGACCTGCTCAAACAGGAGTCTGGCATCGCTGTGCTGACCATCAACTACCCCTCCCGCATGAATGCCTTCTCCGGTAAGGTGACGGTACATTTAACACTGTATATTTTTTTCCGATTGATTAGTGCAGAAATAGTATTCTCAGTATGAAACTCATTTGTGCACAATCACAAACATAAACACATTACAGCCCAGTTGTATTTTTCCTTCCTCCCCAGGCAGTATGATGGTGGAACTGGAGGAGAGGGTGAGCCAACTGGAGAGCTGGATGGAGGGTAAAGGCGTCATTGTTCAGGGAGCTGCTGGAACTTTCTGCTCTGGATCGGACCTCACTGCTGTCAGGGCGATATCTAACCCACAGGTAGCAAAGCAGAGCTATTCTTTAAAGCAGAGGGTTCTCAAACATGTTGGGGGGGGGGAGAACATTCTCCAAAGACCTAAGGGTATGCTTACTACCGTTTGTACTCTTAGATGCCATTGGAACTATTTGTATTCTAATGCTTCTCAATCTAAATAATTCAAACCTTTTTCATACTGATTAAAAGAGCGCCATCTCAATTAAAATCAGGTTAATGCCACTTTGTTTTGCCCTTATGTTCCGGGTGCTTTGTAGTCAGATGCTGCTTTGGCCTGGCTGGCTTCATGGCTTCGTTTGTGACATATTTTGGTCCACCTTCGCTGTTCCCAAAAAAACTAAACTCTATTTAACTGTCATCAATGTGGCCAATTTGGGCTTAGTGTAACTTGACGATGTGGACTGCCGCAAGCTAAGCAGCAGCAGGAACGGTGCAAAGCTACCGTGGCTAATGTGGGTGGGACACAATATTCTTGTTTTATTGTCATCATCTGTAGATATGTGTTTTTTTAATGACACAGCACAATTTATGAATTTATAGCTAATTATTTGGCTGACCCCCTGGCAGAGGCCCACTGTGAGAATCACTGCTTTAAAGTATCTTTTTGCTGTTGCTATCTGCATACTGATGCAGTCAGTCTGTCTGCCTGCATCTCTCTCTCTCTCTGCTTTTGCCTTGTAGGATGGGATGAAGATGTGTATGTTCATGCAGAATGCTCTCACAAGACTACTCAGGTATTGGGCTCTCATTTTCCTCTCAACTAAATCAGCAGCAACCAGTTTGAGCTTAAAGGAGTTAGCGTGTAGCTGTTACATGATGTGCACTACGGTATGCTGACAGAATAGTCTCCTCAGTGCAGGCTGCCTCTGATCTCTGTCGCTCTGGTGGAGGGGAAGGCGCTGGGAGGAGGGGCAGAACTCACCACTGCCTGTGATTTCAGGTAAATAAAAGAATACACCCGAGGATCTCTTTCACACCTTCACCTTTCATCCAAAGGTTTTCTAATGATCTGACTTATGTCTGTCATCTGCGTCTCACAGGTTAATGGCATCTGGCAGTGTGATCCAGTTTGTCCATAAACACATGGGCCTGGTCCCAGGCTGGGGCGGCACCGCTCGACTTAGCCGCATTGTCGGAAGCCAGAACGCCCTGAAGCTGCTTGGTGGTTCTCTAAAAGTGGATCCCGAACTTGGCCTGCAGATTGGTCTGGCGGATGGAGTGCTGGAGGTCCGCCGGGCCGAGGAAGGTGCAGGGGTTGTCCTACAGCAGGCTGAGAACTGGCTCAGCCACTATACGGAAGGAGCTGCCCCAGTGATCCAGGCTGTGAAGAAGGTAGTGTTGTCAGGGAGAGAGCTCCCTCTGTATGAGGCTCTGAGGACTGAGAAGGATGTTTTTGGGACGGTGTGGGGCGGTCAGGCTAACCTGCAGGCTCTGGCTAACAAGTCCAAACACAGATGAGCTCCTAAGAGCTTCTCAGATCAGCTAAGAAGCCCCGTTCAGGTCAAAATTGTGTTGAGAACTGCTACAGACTGACTCTTAATTTACATCAACAAACTTAGTCCTTTGATGTGCTGAAGACAGTAACAATGCTGCTCATGTAATGTGGACTCTGGGAATGAAGAGTTGCGTGATGAAAGGTTTCTTCTTTGTTGGTAAGGACTACGAACTTTATAATTTCAATAAATCAGCTGGGGCATTGCCTCTGATACAATAATAAGAGATCCATCGTTGTTTTCTCTTCAAGTGACATCATACCAACATAACTGAATATGCTGATATGATTCAATGGGTATTAATGTCTTATATTTTCAGTATGGATGAAAGCAAGGACCCAAAGAACTCTGTTCTCAATCTAAATCCCTTCTGTCCTCATTAGTCAAGCAAATTAACTCCTGGTCTGCAGAAAATGTGATTATGGTAATAATTAGATCATGGCCAGGCTGAGCCTAACTGAAGCAGACAGTTAGATACTGATGAGGCATCACGTGTGAGTGTAATCCTGCTGCACTTCTTTCCTCTTTACTGCAATTTTGTAGGTTAGTGTTTTTGTGGCCTTGATCATCCCCACTCTCCCTCCGCTCTAATGGGAGGTTTTTACTGTAGCTAAGAGGGATTATTTGGCTGATTTTCAGTACTCATGCACAATGGCTCTTGTCGATGCATGTGGAAAGATGCTGAGGCACAGGGATACATTAGACAGTTCAAATATTTATTTGTAAGGTTTGGCACATTTTTCATGTCGCACTTAAAACTAGCTCATTCCGCAAGTGAGACACTGCAAAAGCACAAAACTGCAGACTGAAATATCAAGAACAGGACGGATCCCTGGAGGATGCCCGGCCTTTATATCCTGTTCCCCCTGCAGAGGTCATGTTTCCTGGGCAGACACCCAGCTGGAGTGCTGATAGCTGCCGTGGTCAGAATACCAAATACCTTCAAGGTGAGGGAGGAAAAATCAAGAGTTGGCGTCGTTATGATGTACAGCACATAAACACTTTATATGGTGTCCAATGAGATAAAGAGAGGCTGTATTGCATAGTGTGGGCACTATGGATTGGATTACCAACTGTATCTTGTTACACCCGTTTTGATCATGTGCTTAAAGCAACTTGAGGAAACCACAATGACTTTGCCTAATTCGGCACTGAGCAGTTTTAGTATGTGTGCTTAATCAAAGTCTTATTTTGGATGCTTTGTTAAAAGAATAGGTATTGAATATTTCAGGCCTGTATGCAGTGGGAAGGATGATTTATTTTTCCTTCCCCTATAAAAATATCCTGGTGGTACTGTGGAGAAAAAGGGGTGAAATCTGACTTACAATGGGCCCATTAATAGTTCTACTTATGCAACACTTAATACTAAATATAAAAAACTGACATGTACCCTATCACACGGTAAATGACAATATACCAATAATCAGACAAGAGCACAAACATAATTTTAGGATGATGAAATGACAATTTATTCTTAAATTACAAACCATGTAACAAAAAAGTTGCCAAGCAAAAACTGTTACACAAACTTTATTCTTCAGAATGAAAAGTCTAAGACTGAGCTGATGTAACAAATATAAAAATGACATAACTTGAAATCTCTGCAGTGTGGCCAATAGCAGCGTCATGTTATTGTTCTCTGACTGCCTCAGACATCATACAGATTTACAACCATAAGACACAAAAAAACAAATTAAAAACATAAACTCAACACAAAAATATCAATTCTCATCATCCTGCCGACCAGTAGTGATTAAGTAACTCTCTCTTAAAACATGCACAAATCACAAAACTTTAGAAACACACCAATTGAGAATACTTGAGTCAGGGACAATAAGAATACTCATGAGGCTACAGAGGCCTCAACAGCTCTCAAAATGAAAACACTGACACTTCACATTAAAATGCCAATTATTTAAAGCTGGGAAAGGCTAAAATCAAGTCAAGATGTACTTTTATAATTCACATTCATTTAAAACAGGATTTGTAATCAATACAGATTTTAGTAGCCTTAGGTTAATTGCAATCAAATCAAAGACGAACCATCAGCAGGTAGCCAGATAATCCTGTGGGCTCTTGAGTTACAATGTTGTAGCACATTAATTGAATAGCAAAGTACTTTTATGTTTCCTTTTTTATCTGGATAAACGACCTAAAGATTTTCTTCAAACCACAATCTGCTCTGAAACAACACAATTGCCAAAGTCAGCGGATAAATGTCAGAATTCTGAAGGAAAGCCTTCATAATTAGTTCAATCTGAAGTAAGAGAAATCAGTTAGGTAGTGGCGGTTGGGAACTAGCTATTATCAAGGATTAAATTCTTTGCAAGAGTAGTTGGATGACTTGAGCTCTAACGAGCCCATTTCTGTGTGCTATGTTAGCTGAGAGAGTTAAAGTGTAGATGATTAGAATGCAGCTGTTCGTGATCATGATAAAGAGATCCATTGTCGGGAGTAACATCCCCATTTATGCTTTGTCCCTCGACTGTCACAGACCTGACTGGACTCCCACAAACCCCTCTGGGTAGGAGGAGAATCAATTTCAACACCAGACTACCTTGGATAGGCAGACGCAGAGTGGAAAGTAATTTTTAAATTTTTAACTTCCACTTCTGTGAAATTTTTCAAATAAACGTGATATGCCTGCAACCAAATGGCAAAAAGTGAGCAGACTGATGGCAGCTGAACACCAAAATAAGTATGCTACCTCACATGATGTGCTGGATAGACAATTATGAGATGTCCCGCCTCACAACAACATGTTGTATCCATCCGACTCATTAACGAGCCGTGCCTCCCGTCAGTACTTGCACACGCAACAATACTTCTACTGCTCTATATAGTGGATGAGGCTGAAAACACGCCATACAGATACATCCAGATTATTGTGAGCAAAATAGAGACACCAAATTTGATTGCTAAAATATTGTTGTTTACCTAAAAAAGAACAACATGAGAGTACGTTATGTTTAATTTCTTACCCACAGCCGATCCGTGACAGAGTAAACGACAGCATACAGTGAGGAATAAATTAATGAAATGGAACATAGCAATTTGGTGACGATGGCATCGTTGATGACTTCACACTTCAGTCACTGTGCACTGGCCATCGGGCATTCTGGACCTTCCACTGCTACTGGATGAAGAAGGAGGCAAGGCAGACTCAGCACCAGGAGGGGATCTGTCTTCTGGATTCAGTCTTTGCCCCCGCGGCCTGTCCTCCGAGGGCTCTACACGCTCTCCATCTCCCCCCTCGTCTTCTTCATCATCGCTCCAGTCTCCAGAGCCAGACTCATCCACAGAGGTGTGAGGGTCAGAGGACCTGGAGGGTGAGGCCTCCTCTTCCTCATCTTCTTCCTCGCCTTCCCCAGCCTCAGACCGCTCATGAGAAGGTGTGGGCCTAGTGCTGATTTGCAGTTGGGAGAGAGTATCCTCCAGAGTGGGGCTGCTGTTGCCAGGCTGACCACCAAGGGAGGTGGGAGGTCTGGCAGTGGCTATAACAGTAGGGGGGATACCTGTAACCTGCTGCTGTACACCTGCCACTGTCATATCTGCCCCATCAGCAGAGTTTTCTCGACCAGCTGCCCCAATGGCCGCAGTAACACCATCAGTGTCGAGGCGCAGACCCGCCACTCCCTTCTTGGGGATATCCAAAACATCCCTCTTCATCTTGCGCCTACGACCGTGCTCATTGCGCCTGTACTGCACCATGTTCTCCAAGTCAGCTACATACAAAAACCCAGCAATCAGCATTTCAGCGGTTTTCTTGCCCTTGGAAAAAGCGTCCTCCAGCTCGCGGCTGGTTCGCTCATCGTACTGCCACCAACCATTACGGCCCTCATAATACCAGGCGTGATCACTTGCTGCCCCACCCCGACCTCCCGCCGATGCCTTCAGCTCCTCCGGAGAGAGAAGTGTAGGCCTTTCCAGGAAGTCGTCCGGTACTTCCTGTCTACAGAGAGCACAGCGTTTGCTCTGCCAGGATGCTCCTTTCACACACAGGAAACAGAAGACGTGATGGCATGGCAGTTGGACTGGGTGGGAGCAGCTCTGCAGACAGATGGCACACTCCGGTACAGGCAGAGCTGGGGATGAGTTACTGGAGCCAGAGCATGAGGATTCTGCACTGTTCCCACTTCCACCGCCACTGTTGTTGCCTTTCTTACTGGATGGAAGCGAGCTGACAGAGTGGTCTACCTCTCCACAACTAGCCATCCTTAGGAAGTACTGAGGAAAGGGGACAATTGTAAATATGTTTGATAGTGAGCATGTTAGGATTATAAAGTATAGTTAGATAAATAATCTGCAATGATAGCACTATTTTACTGCTGGTGTCATGATCACATTTAACACTCAACTGTAGGTCACGTCACTAAATAGCAAACAGTCCAAGGATGAACAAACTAAGAATTCTAAATATCAAATGATACTATAATCTATATGTCATCTTTAACCTCAAACAAGGCTGACATTTGATACTTACCAGAAGTGCCTTAACACTAATTTATCATGAGGAGAGCTGATGGACCTTCAAGCTTGCCACTGCCTAAAGGGAAAGGAGCAGGTGGTGAAAATGTAGTCATTTGTTTTCAGACTGAAAGTAAGTACAATTGTGATAAACAGTATCAAGCCATTTCTTATGTAAACGTTATCCGACAACGGAAGCTTATGTGACAAACAAGCTGGACTTTTAAACAGATGCTAAAACGGATTAGCATTAGCTAATAATAAGCGTTAATTAACTTAACGCTAGCTATGACCGAAATGTTACTTAAGTCTGTGGAACAAAAGGGCTGCTCTGTCAACTGTCTGACCACTACAAGTGAACTGTGTCAGCTAACTAGCTAGCTAACTGTTATACGTTTGTGCAAACCCAGCTGGCTTATGAACACAGCCAACGATACTCGAGTAAAAACCCAATGCTAACGATCTAGTATTGACACTAACAGTTAATTGGTGACAGTCCATTAGCAAACTAGTTGAGCTAATGTTAGATACAAAACAGCTACGAAAAGCCGAGCAGTTTGTTGTTAACCTTCAGTATAAACACAACACAACAGCGGGATCATAACAATACGACCTGTTGTGGCTAACGCTGGCTAGGCTATGGTAGCACTCTGACTCCAGCAAATAGACGGAGTTCATATGACGGCGCTAGCTTATTTTAACAGGGCGACACAAACTGCAAAGTATTTTCTCACGACAGAGACAATGCAACGACTGCGTGGGTACCGTACCGTTAAATGTAGCTGTGTTAGTCTTGTGCGTAGTTACAAGTATTCGTGTAACGGCGCTGGTTTCTAATGCTAGTTCACCGACCTCCAATGTTAGCAGGCTTTGTTTTCATCCGAAAAAGGAGCTAAGATAAAGACGACGACGTAAGAGTACGCGCTTACGCAGTCTGACGTAAAATCACGCGGCCATTATATTCTGCGCATGACAGTTAGCTTGATTTCCTGTTGGCTCGTGGCTAGAGGACGTTGGTGTCACAGACGAGAGGGGCTCAGCAAGCGTTTTTACTTTCCACTAAAGCAAGAAAAGAAGCAACAAACAAAAATGTTTGCCCGTACCGTGAGACCGACCGTGAGCCTGGCTCGAAGCCTATCCACCTCGTCACAGAACAACGCCAAGGTTGCGGTGCTTGGAGCGTCAGGCGGCATAGGCCAGCCGCTTTCTCTGCTCCTCAAGAATAGCCCTTTGGTGAGTCAACTCTCCCTGTATGATATTGCCCACACCCCCGGGGTGGCTGCAGACCTCAGCCACATCGAAACAAGGGCCCATGTGACCGGCTACATGGGTCTCGATCAGTTAGACGCTGCTCTGCAGGGTTGCGAGGTTGTGGTCATCCCCGCCGGTGTGCCCAGAAAACCCGGCATGACCCGCGATGATCTCTTCAAAACCAACGCCACCATTGTAGCCACCTTGGCCGATGCCTGCGCCCGCAACTGTCCCGAGGCTATGATCTGCGTCATCGCCAATCCTGTCAACTCCACCATACCTATTACATCAGAGGTCATGAAGAAGCATGGCGTGTACAACCCCAACAAGGTATTTGGTGTCACGACCCTGGACATTGTCAGAGCAAACGCGTTCGTGGCAGAGCTTAAAGGTCTTGACCCAGCTCGTGTCAATGTACCGGTCATTGGAGGTCATGCTGGGATTACCATCATTCCCCTCATTTCCCAGTGCACACCAAAAGTGGAGTTCCCTGCTGACCAGTTGGCTGCTCTGACCAGCAGGATCCAGGAGGCCGGCACAGAGGTGGTTAAGGCCAAGGCCGGAGCTGGATCTGCTACCCTCTCCATGGCCTATGCTGGTGCCCGATTCACCTTCTCTGTCCTGGATGCCATGAACGGAAAGGAGGGTGTGGTGGAATGTGGGTATGTCAGATCTGAGGAGACAGAGTGCAAGTACTTCTCCACACCTCTTCTCCTGGGGAAGAACGGCATTGAGAAGAACCTCGGGCTGGGCAAGCTGACTGCCTTCGAGGAGAAGCTGGTTGCCGATGCCATGACTGAGCTGAAGTCTTCCATCAAGAAGGGCGAGGATTTTGTGGCTAATATGAAGTGAACAGGGGGCATTAAGTTAGTTGAAAACGAAGAGCTGTTGTGAATGATATTTTTTTTTTTTTCTGTCTTAACTTAAACGGCATCTGGGTAAATCTCAAGATCTGTCAGTGTTTCCCCTTTTGTTTTTGTTTGGTCATCTTTATTCAGAAATCCTGGTTTTAACCAAGGTCCTGTGTATCATCTCCTTACCTTTCAAACATGGCTTTATCTTGCACTATGATTACTGTACTGTGACTTATATATATTTTGCAAATGTCAAATTTAAACAAAATTTCATATATTTTCATGTAAAGCCTGTATTAACAGGGATTTATCTGCCCAATGACTGAGGAGGAAATACTGTCATGCCTGTTGATGCAAATAGATGTTGAGCAACTGATAAGCAAAATACTTACTCCACCAATAAACAGTTTAGCTAAAAAAAAAAACCGGATTCTTTGTTTCTTGTTTTTTCTTACACAAATAGTTTGACTGTACAGCTGAAACACTGACCACATTTTTAGGGCTGTTAATTTTTCATGAAACTAATCCAGATAAAAGGGATCACCTTCATTTCTTATGTCAAATCTGGTTCATTGGCACTCATAGTATAGATATGGGTTGTTGGAATAAAAACCTAATGGGGAAGCGATTCAAAGTAATTTTACACTTGGAATTATAGTTGAGGGAAGTTTGAGCTACATGTTAGGTAATTGTTGTAGTTGCTTTTTTTGGTGAAAAAGGAAACGGGGCTATTGTCCCTGCAAAAACAACAATCACTTCATTTTGACTTTCATAATGACGGCAGATGGCACTACTCATTTCTTTAGTCTGCATGCTTTTTGATTCACATTATGTGCTGTGGAACAACTCATTATTGGTGTATTATAATTGTTATGGAAAAAGTGGCAGGCTTCCTTGCTGCCATAGACAAAACAGCCCGTGGCAACTTCTTCATCAACAATCGATAGCGGCACACTGTCGTGAGTTTCACTTTGCATTTACTCTGAAGGTTTTAGGTAAGTTCAAGTGGATCGCACAAGATGGCAGTTGGATGAGAAAACAGACTCCGGTACAAACCCATTATAGTTTTATTTGACATACAGGTGCTTTTGGTTCCTAGTCGAGGAGCTTTACTGAAAGCACAGATTCCATTTACACAAAAAGAAAAACCAATGGTAGATTAGATTCCTCACTTATCTGGATAAAACTAGCTTTTGTCCGAGACAGAACACATGTTAATTGTTTTCAGTTTGTGGCCGTACTGCTTTGATTCACAGCAGGTTCTCCTACATCTGTCACTTGCCGTGATTATGAAGATGTCACAAGATGACAATAACAAATTCACTTTTTAATTTTTTTTTCTTTACAAATTCTGCACCAAATAAAATAAGGTAAAAAGATCTAAATAACAGGAACAACAATAATAAACAATTGTTCTACATAATGTTGCGAAATCTACATTCAAAAAATCAAGATCCTCAATGTTGTACCAGGGCCCCATTAAATAACCATATCAACAAGCACATAGTATAACGTCTTTGTCGCTCTGTCCGTCTGTACGCCAGTCCTCCACACAGTCAGACATTTCTCACTTTGTTCTTCAGTACCGTCAGCAGTGTCTCCTGTACTTTTCAACAGAGCCACTCTCTCAGTGGTGGAAGTGAAGGAGTGGGGGCTACAGGGTAGAAAAAAAACATACTTTTTTAAAGTCCATAGTGGCCCAAGCCTTGTGGCTGAATGTGCCCTATCCCGCTTGTGCATAAACATTATATTCAAATCATACAGGTAGCAGCAACACCCCTGCAGAGAGGGGTCGAGGGGGGGTGAACAGTGGGTGAGGATGGGGAGTTTGTGGAGAAGGAGGAATGAGGAGGATAACAGGCGGAGGTTGGGGAGGTGCTGGACTTTCTGTCCAGAGCACTACTGTACAAGGCTGTCTTCGGGGGAGACTGGGTCTGTGTCATGGCCTCTGCGATGTCTGTGCTCAGTTTTGTTCCTGTTATCCAAGTCTTCGCGTTCACCTGTGTCTCTCTCCCTCCCTTGCTCCCTTTCTCTCTTCCGCTCCCGTCGCCCCTCTTGGTTCTCCTTATCTTTCCGGTTGTTGCGATTCCTCCGTTCCCTTCGCTCATTCTTCTTCCGTCCTCCTGGAAGGAAAATGACGTAACAAAGATTAGTAAAGCAGGGGAGAGGGTGAAGCTTGTCATCTCCCTCCCCCAACAACGTCACAAGGTAGTATTCAGTGAATAAACGTTTTACTTTGCATCATTTTCATGATTTTCTTATCCCTATGTTTCAATAAGGATGTTGTATCATATTATGCAATTAACACAGCCATAGAAACATCCAAAATACAGGTTTACAAGTCAAGTAGTCACAATTATTATGCGTTGCCACTTAAGAAGTCTGTGTACAAGTGGCATATATGGTAATGTAGTAATGAATGTATGCAATATTTCAGCTTAGGAGCCTCAAACACACATTTTTCCAAGATGACTTCTTACAGTATTTTGCTGTGGCTAAAAAGACTAAAGCTGCTGTTGATTTTTGTCTGGCTAACTGTAGTTGCTGGGGTTCATAGCCTTAAATAATCTATTCATCGCCTGTGAGTAATGAAAACCACTGGTTGTCGCAATGCTCGGTGTTCACCACTAGATGCCAGTCTTTACCCACAGACAGCGGCCCCTCTCCCTGTGACGAGCGGACCTTTGTCCAAAATAGAAAACCTTTAAATAAGCCCCCAATTTATCTGTTCTTGCAACACCATCTCATAAACAAAACCAAGAGTTTTGGAATGCTGAAGGTTTATCTCTGCTCGGGCTAGAGTTATTAATGATAATAACAAGATCAACCCCCAGGGAGGTTGGAGACGGGACCTGCAAGTGAAAGCAGAGGAGGCCCTTTCCTGTTTTTGTACTGCTGCTGTTCATGTGTGAGTGGAACGGAGCAGCACGGCCTGCTTGGCTGGGTGGCTGGCTAGTCGGGGATTGTGAAACTGCTGAAGTAGGCAGTAGGCACAGACACACGGAGAGAGTGAGAGAGAGATAAAGGGAGGGAGAGAAAGAGATCTCTCTGTGTCTCTCCCGTTTAGCCCCCTACGCTCATCCTCTCGCTCTCTGTCTTTTCATTAATCAAGCCAGGGCTCGGGTTGGACCATGGGCCATGCCTGACCCACACATTCTGGGCTAAAGATAACGAGCTCTACCTGCCCACTGTGTTTAATCTTCCTCTAGAAATAATGAAAGAGGACAGGAGGTCAGGGGATGGACTTATGCATGTGTGAACAATGTGCTCAAAACACGGTATGGACGGCATAGTTTGATTGCAAGACGGTGAAAAGTTACTGAAAAAGAATCAAAATCAAAGAGAGCAAGGATCGGTGGGTCCAGGGATGGATGGATGGATGGGGTAATCTGGTGCATTGACTCATTCAGGGTCTGCCCCCCGTCCTCTATAAACACAGGAAGTCCCCTTCGCTCTCATTGTTTTCTCTGTCCAGACACCATTTACAACTATTTACAAGTTCAGTGGATTAGTCATACTGTAGCCCCCGTGCTTTTGTCGAGCCAGAGGAGAAACCTAATCCATGCCAGTGTTGAGATGATTAGGAGAGTGTTTATCAAACCAAGCCGCGTTTGGTTAGTTGGAACTGTTTCCGATGGACTTTTTGTAAACTGTTTAGTGACATGTGTGTAATGGTCCCCAAATGAGACACCTTAGGAGGTTTTTGACATTAAGCACATTCCCAAGAGCCAAGTTTTAATGAATAATGTTGGACTGGCAGTTAGTGAGAGGTTGCTTTAGGGACAACACATGA